AAGATTATCTATCTATCTATCTATCTATCTATCTATCTATCTATCTATCTATCTATCTATCTATCTATCTATCTATCTATCTATCTATCTATCTATCGCCGCTCCTCTTCCTCCTATCCCTCTGATGAGAGTAAAGTGCACCCCAAACGGTACAGATAACATAACAATAACAACAACGACTAGCATTAGATAAAGCTGGAAACATCGTGTAGGTGGATATGAATCAATACACACCAAAGGGAAAAAACAGCAGACAAGCCTGAAGATTTAAGATATCGTGTCCCTGAAGTAACCGAGCTCTATCCTCGGAGATATTTATTTCCACCAATCAAATCGTCCCAATCATCCCTCAAACAACTGTACAGCGACGACGGTAGCCCAGAATATGTCACGTGAGCGTCAGAGAACAACAATGGGATAATTGTTATGGCTGTAACAAGGATAAAGCAGCACAGGGCCGCCATATTCACTTCGGGAAAATGGCGTTTTATTGCTGTTGTCGTTGTTTTTTTGTGGTTGCGCAAACGCTGTGTCTCTTTCGCGGAGTAAATAATATTGTGAATAAAATTTTATTCGCATTCGTAATGTCTTCCGAGTTGATACGGAAGAGAAAGTCGTGGGGAGTACAGATGATTGGCGCGTGTGTGCTGGAAGAGAAAATATCCACGATTATTGCCCAGGTGGTATTTAAGTAGTCCTCGTCGTAATTTCTTCCAAAGAGGATCATTTTTCTGATGCTTACAGTCGACCTGGACATAGCGCTGAGGTCGAAACATAAAAGTCAAATGAATTGGAATAAATAAAGTACCTACTTCAGAATTTAAAGGAAAAAACAGTTTTATAGCGTTTGCTCTTCTTTTGAAAAGAATTGAGGAAAAAAGAAAGAAAGTAAGAAGCTAAAAAGATACTACTGAGAACAAAAAGTAGACGCAGCTAAAATGTACGCCTTGAACGTGACCTCATTGAAGCTGTAAAACGTAAAGAGAACTATAAAAACGAATGGCAGTATTTTTTGTTATTGTTATTGTTATTTTTTGGGTTTTTTTTCTTGTTTGTTGTTGTTGTTGTTGTTGTTGGGTGAGTTGTTTTTTAGGGGGGGGGGCGGAGTGGAGAATGCAATCTTGTGTTTACTTCAGTCACGTAGAGTCTTTCTTTAAATAGTTTGCCTCTTTTCATGTTGCAGGAGAAGCTATAATTGGGTTTTTATTAGTAAATTGAAGAACAAATGAAAAAACAAAAAACTGAAGCTGTATTATAAGGGAACCTTGAAAATGCATTATAAAAAACCCTTTTAAGAGGACAGTAAAATAGTACTAGATTAGTGTCATTAAATTACAACATTGTTTTGACCCCCTTCTCCCTACCCATCCCTCCACCGCGATAAAGAAACAAAATAAGGAGATAAAATAGATACATGCAAGCCTAAATCAATCAATCAATCAGTGAATAACACACCAGACGATTAAATGACACCCGAGACTACATCGCCGACAGTATCTCATTGACAGTCGCATCAGGAATCGTACACGATGCCAGGACCGTGCCCCGATAATGGCTGGGCCGATCACCCCCTCTGACATTGGCACAAAGACGTCGACTGTCCACGCTAAAGCCGCAGTCGATTGCAAATTCAGCCCAGCCTCCCGCCAAGATTTGATCAGATTTTTTTTCTCGGAGTTATTTCCCTTCGCACCCCGACCGATGAGAGTTACCTCCCGCTCCGTCTGGTTCCCGCCTTCTCCGACGCGCGCTCAGAAAATGGGATCCGCACGTGCAAACGGCCGTCGGGCGCACGCGCATCCTGAGATGTCCCAGTGCCTTTCTCCGAATTAGGCAGAAAATTGGCCCAATTAAGGATCGAGCGAGGGTTGCAGAGATCCTAATTAATGCACATGCAGAGATACTTACAGGGGAGATAAGGGAGAGGGCGGAGTCCCGCGTCACAGGAGGACAAGTGCTAATTAAGGAAACAATGCTCTACACACAAGGCCCCTTTCTCTATCCTGTGCCCATCAGTTCTTCTCACGATACACGACCCTTTACGTATACCTTTATGTCTCTGTGTGACTTATCTGTCTTTCTTAGAATCACAATGCTTAAAAGTATCGTTTATGTCTGTGTGCAGCATACAAGTCCTTCTCACAACACAGGCCCCTAAGTGTGTAGCATATTTGACTTTTATCCCAATAGCCCTACAAACATGTAAACACATAAACACACACACACACACACACACACACACACACACACACACACACACACACATATACGCTATACACACACACAAACACACACACACATACGATATCCCTCTCTATTGGGCGTTTGGTCATTTTGGTGGGAGGGGGGAGGCGGGTGATCACCCTAGTAGTGACAGATAATTTATTGTTTAATGCCCCGCTCGGAAATACAAATAGGTGGGCGGGTGGAAAATTTTAGCTTCTTAAAAGAGGCAAAAGTGAGTTCGGGCTTCACAAAAAGGTTGATAAACACTGGTAAGTTTAAAATATTTAACTCATCCGTCCCTCTTTCAATACATCACCCAAAAGAATCACCTGTATCGCTGTTTATTCTACGCAGACTGCTGAGACCTGTCGCATTCATTATACATGTAGTACAATGCAAACTTTGCTACATTGAAGTTCAAAGTTCCTTCTGGCATAGGATCCGGTGTACGGAATTTTCGAAGAAAATTTTCATATTCCTGTTCAGCCTGTTTTCTGATAAATCCCCCTCCCCCCCCCCTTATTTTACTCTCTATCTATCTATCTATCTATCTATCTATCTATCTATCTATCTATCTCCCTCAGAATGGTTTGGGTTGTTTTGTTTGCTCGAGTTTTTTTGGGGTTTTTTTTTGGGGGGGGGGTTTTTTTTTTTTTTATTTGTTTTTGTATTTTTGTATCTTTATTTTCGTAGGCTGTTTTTGTTTTTTAAAAATACTTCTATGGTTCCGATATGACCCATATAGTCTCAAACATCGGGGTGTTTAAATCCACCAACAACCAACATTTTCAAGATTCCTTTCCTGTGTAAACTTGTACTTGCACCCCTCAATTTATATAATACACGAGTTGTGTGTTTTAAGACATTATTATGTATGTATTCACAATTCTGTCTTTCTTTTATCATTAGTGCTGGGATCAAAACCATGTTTTTCTTTAGTCGTTGCTACTGTGGGCAGTCCTCTATTTTTTGTTTGTTTGTTTGGTTGATGTTGGGGGTTTTTTTTTGGGGGGGGGGGTTCTTTCATTGTTGTGGTTGTCACTATTGTTGTTATCAATATTCCGTCATTATCAAATGACAGAATATCGACAATGCATATTTTTAACACATAGTAATAGAGCTTGCGTCCTGTGTGTGCAAGGCAAAGCGAGCCCAACTATTGTTACAAAGCTGTACAGACACACTGAAGGCTAACTTCACATTGGAAACAGCAACTAAAAACAGAAGACTACAGTGCGTGTTTCTAATGAAAAGTAGAGAAGAAAAAAAACAAACTTATAGCACCAGTATCTCTTGTAAATCACGTCAACGATGAAGTTACAATACGACTTAAGTACAATAGCATGCATTATGGCCGATGCTAGTGAAATTTCATAATAATATCATCACTTTACTCGTATTTTGTTGTTTTTGTTATTGTTTTTGTTGTTCTCCTTGTCGTCAATGTCTTTGTTGTTGCGGCTGTTATTGTTGTTGATATTGTTGTTGTTGATAGTGTTGTTGTTGTTGTTGTTGTTGTTGTTGTTGTTGTTGTTGTTGTTGTTGTTGTAGCTGTTGTTGTTGTTGACGTTGTTGTTAGCTTTGTTGTTGTTATTGTTGATGATGATGGTCATGATGATGGTAGTGAAGATGAAGATGATGATGTTATTTTATTTCAAAACCTAGCTGATGTTTTCAGTCACTGGGACTTATCGAAGTGAAAACAGTAGGCTAGAGCTCTTTCGTCAGTTTTTAAAATGTCAAATGGCTTAGTTAATGTGCTCGTAGGTTACTTATTGATGTTTCAAACTTTTTCAAAACAGATCGTGCTGTTGTCGAAGAATGCCACGTTTAAAAGGTTTTCAATCTGGACTTCCCCTCGACCCCGGCTTAAATATACAAACTAAAAGCAAAACTAACATGAAAAAGAAATTATATTATTATGAAAGCAAATTTTTCAAAAAAGACGGGGAAAAAATAACAAAATAAAAAACAAACAAAAACAAAACAGAATAAAACTTTGTTAAAGACAAACACACTCATAAAACAATACGACCAAAACATCGAAAGAATCTGCATTTTTTTACAATTTGACTTGCACCCCTCATTTTTATAATACACGAGTTTTGTGTTTGAAGACATTATTATGCATGTATTCACAACACTATCTTTCGTTTTGGATAGTGTACAATGACATGCATGTCGAAAAGTCTGAAAACAATAAACAAATAAACACATAAACAAATAAACAAATAAATCAGGCATAAACCAAAAATATACACAGTAAAAAACGAGCAAAACGGAATGAAAATAGGATAACAAAGCACGTATTTTGTTTTTTCCGAATCAGAACTATCTTCACAAGCTACCAGCTGGAAGAACTAGAGAAAGCATTCAAGGACGCTCACTATCCAGACTTGTATGCTCGGGAACTGTTGGCGCTCAAAATCGACCTGCCTGAGGACCGAATACAGGTAAGTTACCCCCCCCCCACCTTTTCCCCTTTTCCCTCCTCTCTCTTCCATCCCCCTTCACCCTCCCCCCTACCCTCCCTTTTCCCCCTCCTCGTACCCTCCGCCTCCTCTTCGTCCTCCTCCTCGTGCTCCTCCTCCCTCTCCTCCTCCTCGTGCTCCTCCTCCCCCTCCTCCACCTCCTCCTCCCCCTCCTCCACCTCCTCCTCCTCCTCCTCCTCCTCCTGCGGTGCGCACGCTACAGCCATCATCTCCAGGAAAACACAGAGCAATACCAAAACATAAAAAAGAAAGAAAAAAAACAACCCCACAGACACAAACAACAACCACCCCCTAGATTTCTGACTGGGCATTCCAAAACAAAAACGAGTCCTTCCACCCCTCCAGCCCAAGGGCCCCTTGCAAAAAACAAAACACAAAGACAAAACGAACACAAACACGCTCAAAGCAAACAACAGGAAGGCATGACAAATAACTGAAGTAAGAAGAAAAAAAATCTCACGCACGAAAACAAAAGGTAGGAGCACATAATTAACTGCAAACAAAAACATAAAATACCCACATACATAAACACAAATATTATGCTAAAAAAGTAGACAACATAAATAATCACTAATGCACATATTACACCCCCCAACCACACACACAC